ACAGCAATCGCAACAACAATAACAACAACAGCAGCAAGCATAAAGTCAACGTCACTGACACTGCCCTTGGGCCATGTATTACAAATCGGGTTAAACGGCTGCCAAAGAACAAAACGGATGTCAACACAGCAACAACAAGGACAAAAACGGCAAATGTCGCGCTAAAAAGGGTTAAAATTTATGATTATTAAACCATGCCCTGAACCCCTGAAACCCCACAACTCCAAACACCCACCCCACCAACCCCCCACCTAACCAACTACCCCTCAGTCATGATGCCCGCACCAGTGAAAGCCAACGCCAGCAAAGCAAAGCGTCGACAAATGCCAAAAACTGAACACAACAAATGTATCATGTGCAAAACCCAAAAAAAAAAAACAGAAAGAACAATCTACAATGTGTCGAAGATTGAACACCCTTTCAGGTGTGCTATATAGAAATTGAAACTATATATAAAGTATATTTCTAATGATAATGTTGAAAAGATATTGCCGACATAATAAGTGAGTCTTAGATATTACAATGGAAGTTAATATATATATTATTTGGTGGCTCAGTATCTTTATCTAAGATATCTGAAAATAAAATAAAAAACACATCCTATAACAATCCAAATTTTCTGAGATTTTTGTTGTGATAGTTATTGACTTATTCTATCTGACATTTTAAATAGATTTCTATAGATGGATCTATATATTTTTGTAATTAATGGAGAATATCTGTGCTCTTATGTGTTGTAATTTTCGTCTTAAGATTATGAACCCTTTGCAAGAGCAACTGTGTAGTGGAAATGGAAAACTGAAAACTGAGTAATAAGAACTGTGTTCAGGGAGTGAGGAGGCCAGAAAGAAAGTGCAGCGTTTTTGTTTCCAAAACGTATACAATAAACATATGAATATTTATGGCAGACAGAGACGCTGCTTGGTTAGAGGCAGGGTACGTGGCAGCAAAAAGGGGCACTGAAGTAGGATAACCCACTAGCAGACGCGACTTTTGGTGCGAGCGATTTTTAAAGCGGTTTAAATCGCACACAAATTAAAGTGTTTTCTACAATTTTTGGTAAAACTATATAGATATATACATATATATATATATATATATATATATATATATATTTACCATCTAATTTCAATCAGTTATATATATATATATATGTATATATATATATATATTATAAAATTACTATCTTCGGTTTGAAGATAAGTATGAAAATATGTATAAGTTTTGATGGGTCTAAAAATGGTTTTAACTAACAAGTCACTCGGCCATATAACTGTTATATAGTGTTCTTTATAAGAGATCTTAAAATATACTCAGTTTCAACAATGACACAAATTATTCATTTGTGAATATTCAATACAGAACTCAGAAGGTTCCGCACATCAATGAAATGGTAAAGTCTTTTAGGCTCTTCGCCATAGAGAAACGAAACGCTCCAAGGGCATTAGGCAAAGTGTTAAAATTATGATCAGTTAAGTGTCTAAATACGCACAGCGAAAGCCCGATGAGCGGCTGCTTAATAGCTGCTGGGTCGGTGGGTGGGCTGGGTAAGTGGGGCCGGGGTGACGGGGGTGAGGGTTTGGTTGGTTTAACTACTGGAGGGTTGCAACACACTTTGGTCCATTCATTTGCCGAGTCCTGTGAAGGCAGCCCAGCCTTTGGAGTGTGTATTTAAAATGTCATTTTGTTGTCAACCTCAGACTTCTTGTCTTATGTCAAATTATAATTATGGCGCCATGCTACTAACGACATTAACACACAGAACTCACAGGCTACACTCGTCGTTGGGGGGTGGTTGATTGGCGGATAGGGAGGGATGGGAGGAAGTGTGGAAGGGGGGGGGGAAGGGGTAGTGGTGTGTGTAGACGTTGCTATTAAATTGCCTATGCGCACAAAGCGAACCCTCTTTCAGAGTCCTGTTCCTGTTCCTTTGCTTCATTATCAACATCGAAAGTTAAAACGCAGACGAGCCAAGCTAACGGTACATTTTCTATTACACTCGGCAAAATTGTAACGTTAAACGTTTGAAAAACTTTGTTTTAAAATCACTTAGCGTCTGCTGCACACACACACACACACACACACACACACACACATATATACACACACTCTCGCACACATGCATAGTTGAAAAGGGTGCAGAGTTTTCTCGTCGTCGTTGTCGCCTTTTCCAAAGTGGTGATAATTTTTGCTTTGTTGCGAAAATGACAACATTTTAACCCAGCTCCCAGCTGCCTTTTAGCCCTGGCCTGCCCCGCACTGCACTGCTCTGGCCTTCTCTACGCTGTGCTGCTACCTGCCACCAGCACCACTACTCTTCATTTAGCTTGCAACGGACGCGACTTGTGTCGACTTTTAATGGTTTTCATCTTATTAGCAGCAAAGTTCTTTGTCGCCTTTGTCGTTGTTGTTGTTGTTGATTTTGCTGCCACGCCCACTCCTACTCCCCCCTTCCCCCACCCATTGCCATTGAGACGACTGTGCGCTTTTTTTGGTCGACACTGCACAAAATGGCTAACAGCAACAGATTTATTTGCAATTTTTGCTCATTTGGCAAAACGGCGACGTCGACATCGACTCAACATTCGAGCCTTGTCTTTTGTCTTAGCCACTTTGTGCCCCGTCAGTTTGCTTAACATCCTCTCAACCCCGTCCTTCTCACAATCTCTTTACCATCTCGTTAGTTTGTTGACGTTTGCTCGACGTCCATATAGCTCCACCTCCTCCTCTTCCCTGTTGTCGGTAGCCCGAGTTCGCTTGTTGCTCTGAGTCTGAGTTGGGTGCTGAGGGCGCATAATTAAAAAAGTTTCATTTCATTTTGTTGGTTTTCTTGGTTCGTTTCGCCTGTTTATGTTCATTTGTTTTCTTGTGTAGTTTTCTCGGGTTTTCTTCTTCACTGGCGCTGCTGCTGCTGCTGCTGCTGCTACTGCTTCTGCTACTGAGGATGCCAGTAGCTGGCTATATTTTTTACGGGTTGGGGGGTGGCAAGCTGTTAGCTGTTGTTGCCGCCCTTGTAGTAGTGATTCCCGCCTTCTTGCGTTTTTTGCATGCTTCGTTTAATTTAATATTAATCTAAGAAGTTTGTTTGCTCTTCACGTGTTTTTCTTGTTCTCATTGTTGCCATTGTTGTTGTTGCAGTTGTTGTTGTTACTGTTGTTGTTGTTGCTAACTCGCTATGGGCCAACAAAATGACGTTGATTTAGACCAAAAACTTGCAAATGAGTTATGGTTTTGCATGTCAGTGTGTATCTGTATCTGTGTCTGTGTCTGTGTGAAAGACACTCACATCATGTGATGTTATGAGATACTTCTGAGCCATATCGTGATAAGTGGTTAACTAAAGTTTGCCCCACAAACAGAGCCATGTATCATCGATAACGTATCGACATATTGCGACATATTGCCAACACAGAAAACCATATGTTTAAGATTTAGTTATTGAAAGTATGTGTATATTCCGATCCGTTCAGAATGTTGGGTTTGATTTAATTGGATTCCATGTAGATAACAATTCAATAGTGGGAAATGTTAAAAGTTTAATTGGATTCACACGGTAGCCTACCTTTTTAAATATAAATTAAATTATATATTTTGTGGCATTGATTGAAAATAAAATTGTGTTAATTAAAGAATTAAAATTAAGAATACCGATTAAAGTCCATCAAATTCAATAAATTGGCTTATAGTTAAATGCAACTTTACTAATGAACTCTATTTTTATCACGAAATTAAAACGAAATGGAGTGAGACTTGTAGGGCGTCATTTAGTTAGTGATTGGCAAGTGAAGTCTGTTTCCAAGAGATCAATCAGAAAGTATTATCTGAAAATGGAAACATTTACTCACTAGCTTAGCTTCTGAACTGGTCACGATATGATACGGTTGGGATATGTTCTCAGTAATTTATAGCCCATAACAATACAGTCAAATTTGCTGAATAAGTCAAGTCGCCTGACCCCTTACCCATGTCCATACCCATATCCAAACCCATTGCAGTTCACATACAGGGTTGCGATGCCTTATGAATATTCGAAATATTCATAGCTGTAGACTTCGCTAGGAGTCCATTGACGTTGGTGCCATGGCAACACTGGATTTGTGATAGTTGCTACGCCAAAGTCGCCACATTCTACTTAATATTGTTCTGTGTGTGTAAGCATTGCATTTTTGCCAATGCTGCGTGAGTATCCCAGACAAACACCCACACACACACACACACACACACACACACACACACACACACACACACACACACACACACACACACACACACACACACACACACACACACACACACACACACACACATACACACACACACACACACACACACACACCCATTTATTTTTCCTAATGGTCATGCATTCATTCATTCGGTGTCTGCGTGCCAGCTTCATTTTTAATGATTGCGCGCAAATTTGGTGTAACTTTGCCAATTCTGCTGGGGTTAATTTTGCATTGGGGCTTGCCGCATGCGGAGCATGGTCCGATTCGCGAGTTGCGTACTTTAATTTCGGTTTCCGCCTGACAGCATCCATGGTAGCCATGGCAAACAGGCGGGGCTTGCGGGCTTCGTCCATAGCAAATCTATAAATTTATGCTATATTTTCGCTGGCTTGAGTGTGGATCTGCTACCTGCACCCATCACCCATCATTCACCTGCCATCACCCACCGCATCCACAGCGTTGCACACCTTTAGGTGATTTGTACACAGAGAGAAGTATTTCGTACTCAAAACGTTGATAGTCTTTTGCTAAGTCAACTCTTGCGATGTAAATTGAAATACGAGTTAAAAGTCCGATTTTCTGCGTATTCTTTTTTAATAATTTAGCTATCGGGTAGGAAACGATTAAGCTATCCTTATCCAAATGCATTGAACTGAATTGAAATTGTATGCGATGCGTCGGTTTCCCTTGCGGGGTCTTGTAAATAGTAGACCGTAAACGCCAATGTGGTCTAATTAAACTCTGAAATTCACTGTCTCTCCTCTCGTTTTGTAGGTAAGAGCTTCACGCTGACAATTGTCATCTCAACGAACCCCATACAGATCGCCACCTACACGAAGGCAATCAAGGTGACGGTGGATGGGCCAAGGGAGCCGCGCTCCAAGGTGCGTCATCAGGGCTTTCATCCGTTCGCATTTGGACCACAACGCTTTGGGCCGGATCCACTTATGGCCGGATTGCCATTTAAGTTGCCAGGTACGTAAGCCTCTATCTAACCACCCCCTTACCACGGCTAAAGCCAATCCAAACAAATATGCTGCCTCAAGCGTTTTGTTGCTCATTAGAGCAGATATTGATGTCGAGGCCAGTTTGGGTTAAATTGGCGGATAGACACGATTAGCTGTCATTTGTAAATTAATATGTCTATTAGAAGGGCTTAATGAGCTAATGCCGCACTTACGGTGTCTGCCCAGAGGCACAAGCTTTAATAATAAAATATGTGAAGCTTTTGATTGGGCTGTTTTCTAGCAGTCAAATATTGTTGGCTATAAGCTTTGTACCTTTATGAGACTTTTGCTTTGAGTTAACCTTGCTTAAATGTGAGTCTATTTGTAATGTAAAGATCCTTCAAACACTATTAATTTCTGTTAAAACCATCTTAATATAAACCTAAATACGTATATACTTATTTGATTAAGTTTTTAGGCTTCTGAGAAAACTTTTTAAATACTTAACTGTTTTGATAGTGAACCGATTTTCATATTTGAGGATTGGATAAATTCTAATATGAAATGAGGTTGAATAAACTGTAGGTGCTTTAACCAAACCCCTTCGGATCGGCTGATGGAAAATATAAGAAACCGTGGTTCCACTTGTTTGTACCATTCAACCTCTGGCTCACATTTGCAATTGAGAACAGGATTCCTGCTATCATTAACAGCCCGAGGACATTAACATAAGGATGATGATAAATGAGCAGGCAGTCAGGCGCAGAGTCCTTTCGACAGCCGTGCAAATAGATTCGCGCTGCCTTTTTGTCAACTCCCAGTGCAAGTGTGTGCCCTATTTATGCGCCCATAATGCACATACACACACACACACACACACACACACACACACACACACACACACACACACACACACACATACACACACATACAGGCACATGTGCACACACAGATACACTAATACAATAGAGGCGACAATTATGTAACAAAACAACAGCTTGAAAAATCCATTAAAATGATTTTAATCCTTTAACGAGTCACAAAACGGCAGCGACGTCGCATCGGCTGCGACTCGCGCCTTTCTAAGGATGAACACATTGAGCCTCAGTGGTAAGGGTGCAACCCCTAAACAGAATATAACAGTACAGAGCAGCGAGCACCCCGCACCCCTGATTGACAGCAGCAGGCGTAGCCTTAAATTATTTTAAAGCGCTCGGCGCGACTGTTGCAACAATAAACACGCGATATAACCAGGCTGCGAACAAGGACAACGATGGCAAGGACGACAACGCAGATGACTGCGAGAAGCCGTTGCCGTCGGCATCGTCGCCTGGTGAACAAATCTCGTTTGATACGCTTTGATTTTATTAAAATTTAACAATTTCACTATGAAATTTATGAGGCGGCAAGTGAGTAAATTTCTTAGTGGTGCGATGTCGATTCCGATGCCACTGTCACTGTCACTGCCATTCTTACTGGCAACAGCCACAGTAACGGTCTCTATCACTTTCTCTTTTGTGTCAATTTCTTGCGAACTGAGCCACTTGCAAATTGCTCTCGTACGAGTATATTTTCAATATCAATCTACCGAACTTCTTCGAGTACTCAAATCAATATTAACACTAGTTCTTCTTCAGTCATTGCATTTTCAGCGCATTTATTTGATAGTATTATTTTATTAGTATTTTCGGCTTGGCTTAGTTTTTGGTTTTTGGTTGATAAAAAAAAGGTATTTGTTTATTTCTCATTCGATTTCATTTCTGACAAAGGTAGCCCCAGCCCCAGTATATTCGTAGTCTGAATCGTGGTATTTAAACTTTCAATAGCAAAGTATAGCAACGAAAAACATTATTTAAACTTAAGTGTACAATATAAATAAAAACCAATAATTACTATTTTTACTGTGAATAATAAAAATTTAACAGATTCTATTATATGTGAATTATTTTGTATTTTTATTAATTAATTTATTTATTGTAGCTTTATAATATATTATAAATAACACTTAAATATATATATATTTTCTTTTTGATAAGTTTCTAAATGAGTTTAGTTTTGTTGGAGATTATTGCAAAGCCCGTGGGGGGAAATAATTTTTTTACCCAAAAACTTTGACTACCAAAGTTTTTTGCACTTGTGAGCCGAAACTGCAAAGTGACATAGCAGCAAAAAAGTGTCTCAAAATTACATTAAAAACTAAAAGGCAGCCAAAAGTCTCAGGCTTCTATTTGGGCGTGCGTGTGTGTGTGTGTCTGTGTGTGTGTGTGTGTGTGTGAGTGCTGACTAGTTTTTGGCATACACAAAATGTAGTTGACACTGAAGTGCTGCGTGTCACAGAAAGTTTGCCAAATGATTAAAAGGACTCTGCGCTGGTGCCTGCTGCCTGCAAAATAGTTGAGCAGGCTGTGAAAAAGCAAGTCAAGTGATTTTCTTGATGGAACGAAATAAATATAAAATGGCGTCGTAAGCAGGGCACATTAGTGCCACGCCTCTAGCCCCCATACCCTATACCCCATTCCCCCTCGTCTGCCCAACCCTCTCCGGACTAGAGCGCAAGGTGCCCCGAGGCAGTGCCATGAGTGCCTGGAAAGTGGAAAATTTGTAACTTCCGCAACGGATATCCTGTTTCACACACGCGCGCCTCCCTCTCCAGCGAGTATGTGTGCGTGTGTGTGCGTTGTTGCCTAGCCTTTTGAAGTTGCCTTCAGCAGCAGCAGCAGCAGCAGCAGCAACAGAAGCAACTAAAAAAGTTTCGCGCGCGTTTTTAGTGAAAATTATATTAAAATTTTGTGCTTGATGTAATTTATGTCATAAAACCCATTGGCAAGTAGACGCATATGTGCATAATTACACAGTGGCTCAGTGTGCGTGAGTGTGTTGTGTGTGTGTGAGTGTGCGGGCGCCAATGTTTTAAATGAATTTTCAGCTTGAATTCATGTTACATTGTCTTGAGCCGCGCGCCCACATCAGCCCATATACTACATTACATATGAAAAACAGCTTATTTGATTTAAGATCTCGTCCACTCGAATTTATTTAAAACCCTTTTTTGGCGTCTGCCGTTTTATGTTGTTTGGTTTACAGGACCTTAATGCCGGCGGTACGTTAGAAGCAAGGCAAAAGGCAAAGATCAAAGTGCGCACTACTCACACCATCATTACACACACACACACACACACACACACACACACACACACACACACACACACACACACACACTCGCACATGCTTTCGTGTTCTTTTTTTACTTATGAGCTCGCTTGGGGCATTAGTCCTTATGCCTATATTAGTCCAATATTAGCGTGCGGGTACTTAAGAGTATTTTGTTAATCAGCAGTTGGTACTTAAACTGATTACAAGTCAATGTAATCCAAAAATAAAATGATTAATTCTTATAAATCTAGAAAATGTATATTTTGTAATGATAGCGTTAAGTTTTTTTTAATATTTTAATGATAGTATACTTTTGAATATCGATCTTGTTTATCAACAAATAAAGTCAATTTATTTAATAAATTTATTAAATCCAAAGAAACTGAAGTCGAATATATAATTTTAGTTAAAAAAAAAAAACAAAAAACAATTAAGTGTTCACGTTTAGTTTTATCTATTTTTTAATCTATCGATTAACTGCAACAGTGTCGAGAGTTTCCAATATTTTCCATATCTGTAATTAAGTAGTTATTACTTTAATTCGATAAGAAAATCAAATAAATAACTGAGGCAGGCGTTTGAGTTGCATTTTAAGTTAATTTCCCTTTTATGTGTAATTCACTCGATTGGGGTTGGTTACGTTTTCGTTTTTTTTTACTTTTTAATACGGCCCTCTAAGCGATACACTCGTATGTAGATGTAGACGGCCAAAAGGGTTAGGCTTTGCGTCTTTAAACAACTTGATAAACTCTCTACCTTCCCATTGTGCATTTCTTGCGAAAACGAAATGATTTAGTACATATAATCAAACATGCAGACAGACAGACAAATTTGCACAGTCACAGTCATGGTTGGGGGAGGGGGCAGAGGCCTACAGCTCAATTTGGCTCGTAAAAGGAAATTTTAAAGTCATCGTCCTTGCTTGTCCCTGACACCGACTGTGAAGGCTGTGGGCTGTGGGATGCTGGGTGTGTGTCGCTGCCCCCCAAGGACATATTACAGCATTGATTCAATTTCATGTCAATTTACGTGTCAATGCGACACTAATACGCCAAGGGTCGTGGCTGTTGCGCAAAGCTGCCCTGACCCCTGACCCCTGAGCCGTGACATGTGCCACAACTCGAGTTGTTGGCGGTGGGCGTGGGATGCGTCAGTTGGTTGGCTGGCTGGCTTGGGCAAGGTGTGCGTTTAAAATTATTTATAACATTTGCCAAAATATGTTTGCCAAATGCCAACAAGTCCGTCGTCTGCCTCGCTTTGCAATTTCTTTTTAGCGCGCCCTAAAATGTATGCTATTATTTTTCCTTCCTCTACTTTTTTTTATTTTATTTTTTTTTGCAATAACTTGCGGCCTGTTACGCAGCAACCATATGTGTGTGTGTGCGTCAAATGAGGAGGGGAGGTGGTGGGCTGGAATGTGTGTTACGCCAACCCCGCCAATTCCCCAACCAGCAGCAACACTCGCATGTGTTGACAACACTTGTGTAACGGTAAATTTGTGCGTATTGTGCGTGTGGGGGAGTCAGGGACTTGGGAAGGTTTTGGGTTGTGTTTTGGATTTAAAAATGGGGTCTTGTCAACCTCTTGGCATGCCTTACAAAATAGCAGCAAATTTGCCAAAACAATTTGCAAATCTACAGCAAATACTTATGTGTAAATACTGATATGACAGGCACTTGACAACAACTGACTGCGAAATTGATAAAGACAGACAGACAGACAGACAGACAGACGCTCAGACAGGCAGAAACACGCAGAAACTGAAACAGTAACAGAAAGAAAGAGACAAGCTCTGAGCTCACCTGTAGCAGTGTGGAAAGAAAGAATGAAATTGACTGGCTGCTTAGCAGCCACAGCTGGTTGGAAGTCTTTATT